GGAAGGTTGAGATTGATTTTGGGGGTTATATGGCCCTAACTGTTTAGGAATTAGGGGCCAAAAACAATACTTTTCTAATACTTTGTATAAATTGCTTATTTCTTGAACAATTTCAATGGGGTTTTATTCTTGAATTCTTGGGGCTCTTTAATATGCTGAATCTAACCGTGTATTAAATTTTTGGATTTTGGGCCCAGTTTTCAAGTTGGTCCAAATCTGGGTTCAAAATTAAACTTTGTTTGATTTCAACAAAAATTGAATATATGGGGTTCTTTGATATGCTGAATCTAACCTATATTAAGTTTTTGGATTTTGGGCCCCGTTTTTAAATTGGTCCACATTGAGGTCCAAAGGATCCAAAATTAAACGTTGTTTTATTTCATAAAAAATTGAATTATTGGGGTTCTTTGATATGCCAAATCTAACCTTGTATTTAGATTCTTAATTTTTGGTCCCGTTTTCAAATTGGTCTACATTAAGGTCCAAAGGGTCCAAAATTAAACTTGGTTTTATTTTAACAAAAATTGAATTCTTGGGGTTCTTTGATATGCTGAATCTAAACATGTATTTAGATTTTTGATTATGGGCCCAGTTTTCAAGTTGGTCCAAATCGGGGTCCAAAATTAAACTTTGTTTGATTTCAACATAAATTGAATATATGGGGTTCTTTGATATGCTGAATCTAACCATGTATTTAGATTTTGGATACTGGACCATAATAGGTAAATGTCCAACTTAAAATTTTTAAGTTCTAAGACCACATTCATTCTGTGTCAGAAACCTATGCTGTGTCAAATATTTAATCACAATCCAAATTCAGAGCTGTATCAAGCTTGAATGTTGTGTCCATACTTGCCCCAACTGTTCAGGGTTCGACCTCTGCGGTCGTATCAAGCTGCGCCCTGTGGAGCATTTTATTGACTATTACCATGAAAACTATGACATTTAGAAAGAAAATTTTTTTTTTATGCCTTATATGATTTAAATTATAAAAGATAAATAAACACTTCAAATCACAAAAGTGGTCAGCAAGGTAAGATCTATTAAAAAGTCAAATTTTGCCGACAGAGTTAGTAGACTGTCACTCTTCATAGAAGTAATTGCCCTTAAAAGGGGATTTTTTTACCCTCTATTGTGTTTTGAGCAAAAAGTAAAGAAGATAGAGAGAAACTAAACAGACTAAGAGATAAGTTTATACAAGATCAACAAAATAAAGATTTTTGTCATGAAGTCTATTTTCCTCCACAATGTTGTAGAGTATCCTTTGTTTGATATGCACGTAGACCAAGATGAGCGAGACACAGGCTCTTTAGAGCCTCTAGTTTTTATCAACTCTACAGTTTTCGTTGTTTGTCTTTGTGCTGACTGCTATCGTGTTTCTTTTAGTTGCAAGACTTTTGATGTGACCTCATATTTATGGTTCATTTGTCAATATTAAGTTTTTGTGGTTTGGTTGGTTTCTCAGATACTGTAAGCAATAGATCACCTGTATATATGGTGTATGGTATGTTTGTAGGATGTACATGTCTGTCTGGTAGGTTTCATCTGACCTTGAACTTTCATCATGGTTCATAGGACAATGTTAATTTTTTGAGGTTTGGTCTATTTCTCAGATACTATATGTATTACTATAAACAATAGATCAAATATATTTATTGTATGGAATATTGTAAGGTGTACCCGTCTGTTTGACAGGTGTCATCTGACCTTGACCTTATTTTCATGTTTCATTGGTCAGTGTAAGTTTTCATGGTTATGTCTGTTTCTCAGATACTATAATCAATATATCAACTATATGTGTAGCTAGGAATGATTGCATGGTGTAGGTGTTGTCTGCAGTGTTCATCTGACCTGGACCTCATTATTATGGTTCATAACGATAAGTCAATGTTCAGATTTCTAACTTGTATAAAAATTAAATTAAAAGATATGGTATGATTGCCACTGAGACAACTCTCCACACGAGACCTTACAGCCTTCAAGAATGAGCAATGGTCTGTTACTCAGATATGATATCAATAATAGGCTATATTTGGTGTATTGTGTGACAGTGATTCACTGATATATATCAGACTTTTCAGTTTTGAGATAAGAAGTAAAGCAGTTGAGACACTTCAGTGTCTGCACTTGTGTTTTTAAAAAGCTTAGGACATATCTTGACAAACATCTATATATATTCATACTTTGTTAATGTTATTCCATTTAAAAAAATAATGATTGCCCACCAAAATACATCTTCTTTTGTTTTTACATTACAGATGCTGTAGAAAATTTTCGAAGGATATGTTTACTGATTATGACCAACAGGATTATATCATCATGACCATTGGAATCTTACAAGGAGAAGTGCAAATAAATGAAGGAATTCATGTGCAAAAATTATAATATTGTAAACAGGAGAACAGTCTTAAATAATACTAACAGTTAAACAGTTTTGTGAACAAGAGTCCAAGAGCAAGGCAGAGTAAACTTGGAGTGTATATATGTCAACCACAAGTACATTAAGAACACATAATGCTAATGAAATAAGAACTATGGTACACATTTTGTATGATTGTAAATATCTCATCCAAAAAAATGTAGTTGTTAAATAAATAGAATTGAAATAACTAAATTTGTAAGGTTTATATGACCATCATATTTTGAGGTCTTTTTGCAAATTCTAACATAGAACCAACCAACCGACGATCAATCCATCCAAATCACAATTGTGGTGAACACAATTTCCAATGACCAACAGAAAAAGATGATGTCTTATCCTAATACATGTACCTTCTCTTCTTCAATTGGCTTAAGCATAATCTATTCTTTTCAGTAGATTATATTCTGAGTGTAACATAAATATACAAGAGGAGATATTGTGTTTACGTCAATAAGACTAGCATAAAAACCAAGACATCTTTAAGGTAAATAGTCCATTCTAAATGGTAATTGATAATCTTTCTCATGAGGGTTTTTTCATGGATTTAGGTTTATGAATTGAATATAGATCATTTGAATAGGATGTCATAAAATATTGTGCTTCCATTCTAATTGTAAGATAGCACACAGTAAATGTATGCCTTGCCAAAAACAGTTCTAGAAGGGAGGCAATCAAGTTTGAAAAGGACAGACAACACCATCAAATTTAAATGTAGTCATTTTGATTTCCAACTAAATACTACAATGATATAATCATTAATTTATAGATGTTTACTTGAATATATAAGTAAAAAAAAATCAAATTGTTAGTGTTTACATTAGAAAAGACAAGTATAATATATTTAAGGTATATCCATTACCAACCAGAAAAAAAACTCCAAAAAATCATAATGTATTTGGGTGTTGTGGACAACAAAAAAACATGTCAAACAGGTAAAATGTTAACAACACCATACAAAAAAAAAACATTCATTAAACTGGTGTAGACAACAACAAAAAACCAAGCATATTATGGGTGCTGCAGAAGAAAAAAACCATGTCAAACAGGTGTTGAAGACCAAAAAATATATGTAAATACGGGTGCTGAAGACAAAAAAAAAACATACGTAAAAAGGGTGTTGAGGACAAAAAAAAACATACGTAAAACGGGTGTTGAGGAAAAAAAAAACATACGTAAAACACATGATTTTCTAGAAATTAACAGGCGTTTAACGTGCGTTTACCCGTAAAACGGGCGTTCTACGTAATCATTTAACGCATGTTTTACGTTCACGCACGTATTACGTGTGTTTAACATACGTAATTCATACGTTTCAAACGGGCGTTTTACATGCGTGGTCCTCAATATGCGTTTTACGTACGTTTTATAACATACGTAAAACGCCTGTTTTACGCATGAAAAACGGGTATGCAATTTTTGCTGTGTACATAAGTTACAATTATAATCAGAAGATTCCAGCAAACTAATAAATAAACAGTTTAAAAACAGAAAACGTATATCAAAGAATAACTATTAATACGTGTAGTATGCATTTAGTTTCAGAATAGAATTCAGGAAGTTTTACTTAAAACCACTCTACTGATTGTAAAGGATTACTATGTTGAAAAATATGTCTAATTATCAGGAATTTTAACCAAGAATTACTTTTAAAAGATAACTGTTGTTTTTCCGTCTGATTTCATGTACTAATTCAGCGAGTTTTGTTTGTTTATACTTTAAACGATTTGACTTGCTTTGAACTGACATAACTTTACCGTTATTGATTTTAATATAAAATGATGTTGATTATTGTATAAAAACAACTATTGAAGTCCTTGGTTTGATGTGTTTGAGCTTTTGATTTTGCCATTTGATTAGGGACTTTCCGTTTTGAATTTTCCTCGGAGTTCAGTATTTTTGTGATTTTACTTTTGTCTTTATATATTTATTCTATGGTGTATTCTTCATGTTCTATGCTTTTATTGGGGGTTTTCATAGTTCAAAGTATGACATAATTATCAAGTTTTCACAAAGATTATGAATGACACTTTATAAAAAAACATGCTTTGCTTTAGTATACCTAAGCATGGAAAACAACTGGAACATAAATGATACGTTTCGCTATGGTTGTAATAACCATATTTTGACTTTTAAAATCCATAGTTTACGGTGTTTCCTGTCAACACTTATAAATATAACGTATGGTCCTTCTTTCTGTCTTAGGCTGTTTATCACGTCTTTACAAATAACCCGTTTTTTAAGTCTGATTGATTCTTCAATCTTGGAAACATGATTTATCAATTAGTTTTCTTTGGCTGTGAGCTTCAGTAACCATGAGTAGTCTTAGATCGGTACTTGTGACTTTCTTTAGTTGTTTTTCACTCTGCTTATTGTCTAATTGGTAACTCAAGCCATTTCTAATTGAGTTTTTACACCATTGGCCACTGTTAGATTGAGGGTTGAGCGGTCACAAGCATGTTAAACCTAGATTCATTCTGTATGTGCTTGTCCCAAGTCAGGAACCTGAAAGTGAACGGTTGTCGTTGGTTGCTGTCGGTTCTATCTGTAATTTGTTTATTGTTTTGTCATAAACACTTTTGTAGAAAATGGTGGATTAAACCTGGTTATATAGCTAGCTAAACCTCTCACTTGTATAACAGTCGCATAACATTCCATTATATTGGCCACAATGTGTGAACAAAACAAACAGACATAAAAGGTAAACATGTTAAAAATAGAGGTACAGCAGTCAACATTGTGTTATAATCTTAATCACTATAAAAACAAACAAATATGTCAAAACAGAAAAAAAAAAACGCATAAAAAGCTCATTAAATATATCAGGCTGATAACGATTCGCATTTCGTCTACTTAAGAATTATCGATGACGCTCAAATCAAAACAGTTGAAAGTTCAAATCATATAAAAAAAAAGTTAAAGAGCATTAAAAAACTGCAAACTCCGAAGAGTTGTACCAAATTTGGCTAAAGCAATCTATACCTAGGGGTAGAAAAACCCATGTGTTTCGAAAATTTCAACATCATATAACAGTAATTTTACAGAAAAATGAATACATAAATGATATTTGTGTCAGCACAAAAATACTGATTACAAGACTAGTGATACCCTCATCAGTGGCATCAATCAAGTGGTTGTAAAAAATCATCAAATCAAATCCGAACGTTGTTTTTGTCGTTTTTTTTGCATGTAGAGGTCCTTTGTAGCTATTTATACTTTATGGACTTTGTTGTACGGATGTCTCATTGGCAAATATTATACATATACTTAATTATTTGAAGAAAAAAATCCCCTTTATAACCTAACACAGTTACTGAAAAGGTAAGCTGGAACTTACCAGTAAAACAGTACCTCAAATTGAGACACACACAAACATATTAAAAACTAAACTTTGGAAATCTAACTTGTGGTAAAACAATGTCAACTGACGCCGTGAAACGTTACTTCACATTTATGGTACAACGTATTTCTTAACGTAACTAGAGAAGCATGTAACTAAAATGAAAAACCAAATTTTACACCTGGATTCTAATATATTACCTGATAATAGGTATATAATTCTAAATATTGAACATTAATATAACTCTGAATCTATTGCACACAACTGTATGATCCATTTGAATCTATGTAATCGTATCTTTCTTACAGGCATCATGAACGGTAACTCTAGAAACCATGACAGTTCTGATGATGAAAATCTATTTAGCATACAAAAAACTACGTACTGGGAAATATACGGTGTAAAACGTTTTCCGTACCGGGGAAAGCGTAAGTTTACACCATTACTTTATCAATCTTTAGATGGAGTAATGGTGATCTCAAATGACGTTTTTGGATTAACAATCAGTCAGTTTGAACGAGTGTATAAAGCTTGTTTGGAAAGAAGGAAAACAAAAGAACAGTGGATACTGAACCTTAGATATCCTGACAAATCTTCAAGAGAATATCTGGAACATTTAGAGAACTGTAAAGACAATAAGGAAGGTAATACATTTGTAATAATATTTGTAAAACTCAAGAGAATGAAAGGTGTAAAATTGGTATTGATGCAATGAGAGTCCAGAAACAGTCTTACAAGGGGAAAAAATACCCAGATATATCGAAAACCATTAATCAAAAACAAATGGCAACACCATGTCCAGAAAAGGAAAAGACAAACAGACAACACCATGTCAAAAAAGGGAAAAGACAAAAAATGGTAACACCGTGTCTAAACAGGGAAAAGACAAAAAGGCAACACCATGTCAACAAAGGGAAAAGACAAACAGGCAACCCATGTCAACAAAGGGAAAAGACAAACAGACAACACCATGTCAAAAAAGGGAAAAGACAAAAAAGGTAACACCATGTCAACAAAGGGAAAAGACAAACAGACAACACCATGTCAAAAAAGGGAAAAAACAAACAGGCAACACCATGTCAACAAAGGGAAAAGACAAACAGGCAACACCATGTCAACAAAGGGAAAAGACAAACAGACAACACCATGTCAAAAAAGGGAAAAGACAAAAAAGGTAACACCATGTCAACAAAGGGAAAAGACAAACAGACAACACCATGTCAAAAAAGGGAAAACAGGCAACACCATGTCCAAAAAGGGAAAAGACAAACAGACAACACCATGTCAAAAAAGGGAAAAGACAAACAGACAACACCATGTCAAAAAAGGGAAAACAGGCAACCCCTATCAAAGAGGGAAAACAAACATACAACACCATGACTAAGAAAAGGAAAAGACAAACAGGCAACACCATGTCAAAAAAGGAAAAGGATAAACAGACAACACCATGTCCAAACAGGGAAAGGATAAACCGACAACACCATGTCCAAACAGGGAAAGGATAAACAGACAACACCATGTCAACAAAGGGAAAAGATAAACAGACAGCACCATGTCCAAACAGGGAAAGGATAAACAGGCAACACCATGTCAACAAAGGGAAAAGACAAACAGACAACACCATGACTAAGAAAGGGAAATAAGAAACAGACAACACCATGTCAAAAAAGGGAAAAAACAAACAGGTAACACCATGTCTAGAAAGGAAAAAGACAAACAGACAGCACCATGTCTAAAAAGGGAAAAGATAAACAGACAGCACCATGTCTAAAAAGGGAAAAGATAAACAGACAGCACCATGTCTAAAAAGGGAAAAGATAAACAGACAGCACCATGTCTAAAAAGGGAAAAGATAAACAGACAGCACCATGTCTAAAAAGGGAAAAGATAAACAGACAGCACCATGTCAACAAAGGGAAAAGATAAACAGACAGCACCATGTCAACAAAGGGAAAAGATAAACAGACAGCACCATGTCAACAAAGGGAAAAGATAAACAGACAGCACCATGTCAACAAAGGGAAAAGACAAACAGACAACACCATGACTAAGAAAGGGAAATAAGAAACAGACAACACCATGTCTAAAAAGGGAAAAGATAAACAGACAGCACCATGTCAACAAAGGGAAAAGATAAACAGACAGCACCATGTCTAAAAAGGGAAAAGATAAACAGACAGCACCATGTCAACAAAGGGAAAAGATAAACAGACAGCACCATGTCTAAAAAGGGAAAAGATAAACAGACAGCACCATGTCTAAAAAGGGAAAAGATAAACAGACAGCACCATGTCTAAAAAGGGAAAAGATAAACAGACAGCACCATGTCAACAAAGAAAAAAGATAAACAGACAGCACCATGTCTAAAAAGGGAAAAGATAAACAGACAGCACCATGTCTAAAAAGGGAAAAGATAAACAGACAGCACCATGTCTAAAAAGGGAAAAGATAAACAGACAGCACCATGTCAACAAAGGGAAAAGATAAACAGACAGCACCATGTCTAAAAAGGGAAAAGATAAACAGACAACACCATGTCTAAAAAGGGAAAAGATAAACAGACAGCACCATGTCTAAAAAGGGAAAAGATAAACAGACAACACCATGACTAAGAAAAGGAAAAGACAAACAGGCAACACCATGTCTAAAAAGGGAAAAGATAAACAGACAGCACCATGACTAAGAAAGGGAAATAAGAAACAGACAACACCATGACTAAGAAAGGGAAATAAGAAACAGACAACACCATGTCAAAAAAGGGAAAAGACAAACAGGCAACACCATGTCAAAAAAGGAAAAAGACAAACAGACAAAACCATGACTAAGAAAAGGAAAAGACAAACAGACAACACCATGACTAAGAAAAGGAAAAGACAAACAGGCAACACCATGTCAAAAAAGGAAAAAGACAAACAGACAAAACCATGACTAAGAAAAGGAAAAGACAAACAGACAACACCATGACTAAGAAAAGGAAATAAGAAACAGACAACACCATGTCAAAAAAGGGAAAAGACAAACAGGCAACACCATGTCAAAAAAGGAAAAAAGACAAACAGACAAAACCATGACTAAGAAAAGGAAAAGACAAACAGACAACACCATGACTAAGAAAAGGAAAAGACAAACAGGCAACACCATGTCAAAAAAGGAAAAAGACAAACAGACAAAACCATGACTAAGAAAAGGAAAAGACAAACAGACAACACCATGACTAAGAAAAGGAAATAAGAAACAGACAACACCATGTCAAAAAAGGGAAAAGACAAACAGGCAACACCATGTCAAAAAAGGAAAAAGACAAACAGACAAAACCATGACTAAGAAAAGGAAAAGACAAACAGACAACACCATGACTAAGAAAAGGAAAAGACAAACAGGCAACACCATGTCAAAAAAGGAAAAAGACAAACAGACAAAACCATGGATAAGAAAAGGAAAAGACAAACAGACAACACCATGACTAAGAAAAGGAAAAGACAAACAGACAACACCATGACTAAGAAAGGGGAATGAGAATTGGCAACACCATGTTCAAAAACAGAAAAAACAAACAGGTAGCACCATGTCTAGAAAGGAAAAAGACAAACAGACAGCACCATGTCTAAAAAGGGAAAAGATAAACAGACAACACCATGTCCAAAAAGGGAAAAGACAAACAGACAACACTAAGTCGCTTTTGAATATTTACAATCGTAGACCAGTAGACGGGAAAAAATGATTTGACAAAATGAATATAAATCATGTTTGTGAAGTAAAATCAATAGTTCGTGTTGTAATGTCTTTCTTGAACACGACGGACTTGATATCAATGCCAATAAATCAACTAAAGGTTGAGATACATTCCATGAAAAGGTAGAATATTTGTTAATAGTACAATACTTTATTGTGACAAAAATATTGATATATATAAGATAAAAAAAATATATAGGTCGATTTGCAACATCTAGGTGATATGTAAATTCACTCGAACACTGAGGTTACGGTTTAATCTTTATAAGTCATATCGCGAAGACGAAACAGCCAATATGATTAAGATTGTTCCATTGATTTTAAATTGTCATACATGGCTTCACATATACAACGCTAGACGTCCATTGCGTCAACATAATACTCAACAATGACGTTATGATCAGAACGATCGCTTGAAATACATCTAGGAGAGATAATGTACTATGTTTGAACGTCATTTAATGGTTTCATGATACATAAGAAAATACGTATATTTCTTATAGGTAACTTTTTGGGGATTGACTCGAGGGAAAAATACTTATACGAACACCTAGTACAAACAGTTGGTAGTGAAATAGACATACGAACGAGACAACGACTATTTATAATACAAGATAGGATCATCAATTCATCAGGTTTGACTGATCGTACACAAATATTTAGTGGCAGTTTGGCAGAAGGTCTTGATTTACCTGGCAGTGACATGGATGTAATGTTCGTTATCAATAACCTAGAAGTAATACATAATCTAAAGAACATCAAAAAACCAATACATCGTGCTGAATTGTGGGTTGTGGAGACAGATATTGATCATCCTGGATTTGCTAGACTCAGAGCGGTATCAGGACGTAATGGGGTATCCCCCCGTGAAGCATGTATGCGTTGTCCACCAGGTACATGTACCGGTACACAATTTTATCTTTCAGTAAAAACCCTTCTTGATGAAGGTAAGCAAGATTTTTCCCATATGAAGCCATATGTACACGGTCCATGTATAACAGACCGTTGTCAAACGATTGATATTGCATACTGCATACGGAGTAAATATCTTCCTCACAACGCAACTCCATGGGCATCCCGTCATCGACGGCAATGGCCTTCTAAATTTGTTATTGACAGGATCATAAAATACGGATGCTTGTTAGTACCTATAGGACCTAAGACATTATCAGATAGTGACTACTTATGGAGAATATCTTTCTCTGTGGCAGAAAAAATACTTGTACATTCGTTTAATTCTACTCAACTCTTATGTTACGGTCTACTTAAATTAACATTAAAGTGTATCGTTAACACAAATAATGATGTCAAAGAGCTTTTGTGTTCCTACTTCCTGAAGACGGCTTTATTCTGGGTCTCAGAGGAGACGGATATTGACACATTTCAATTATCTAAATTGTTCATTTGTTTTTCTCTCTGTCTTGATAAATTAATGTCATGGGTGAATACATGTTACTGTCCGAACTATTTTATACCGGAACACAACATGTTCATAGGAAAGATCAATCAGATAAACAATAAAATACTTTTATGTGTACTTGAGAGTATAAAGTTTGGAGGGATTGATTGGTTGATAAACAGTTTATTCTTGCCTGACAATGGAAATCCCCGTTTTTCAAGTACATATAGAGAATATTCATCCATAATGTTAGACTTCCTATTTTTCAGGATTAAAACATCGTATCGCATTTCAAGTTGGAAAAAAAGGATTAAATGTACTGAAACTTTACTAAAGTCTGAATCATCCACATTTCTTATTGGTGTATGCACGCATCATTATGCCGGAATCAGTAAACATGTAGCACAACTACTTCCACATCCAAACACAATAGGTACCACATACAACATGTACAACATACGCAAATGCTATCATAGAGCTTTACAAAACGGCATCAAGACTGATGCTGTATCGGGTTGGTTGTTATACGCATCATTTTATTATGCAACTGGACAGTTTAAAGTTACTCTAAGACTAACGGATTTTGTTTTGTCAAGATGTTCATCTGATATGGTGTTTCAATGCGATGAACCAAGATGTAGACATAGAATCATGTACAGACAAAATATACACTCTTCAATGACATTAAATGACAGGATGAGAATGGCTATACTTAGAAGTGTCAGGTACTGTATGTACTCATCATTAATACCAGAAGAACTTCAGATGGAGGTTGAAAAATACGAAATAGGCATACCGCCTGTTGTTATGTCACACTGCCTTAGATTTCTATGTTATCATCACCTTGGTGATATTGTCAACAGACAACTAGCTTTACGTGATTTATATTTAACAGTTAAAGATTCATATTTAATTCAAGCCCATGAATTATCTGATTCAATAACAATACTTGGAGTATGCTATGAGATATCGGGTGCTAAAGACAAAGCCTATCAGTGCTATGAGGAAGCTTTGCAAGTTGATGGTATAATATCTAGTACCGCACAAATAAGAAAATCAAAATTGGATGGCAGCTATTGTTGAATTTAATCGTTTTACTATATCGGGAATCACACTTTCTTATTAATTATCACACTCTTATGATACCGAAAACAAACTGTAGACATAAGTTTATGTATGCCTAATAGACAATTATAAATATGTTATTACAGTGAATGAATAATTGATTCATTGACATACTTGGAGTATAATATAATAAATGAGTCGATAAGGACACGGATTATAAGTGTTACGAGAAGGTTTTCCATTTAGTCCAACAACAAAAGTAGGACCACTTAAACTTCCTGGCATTTAATATACACTTTTTATTGCAGTTTTGAAGGCTTATGGAATTTGATTTACCCCTAATAAAGAGATACCGTGTTAACTTGTGTGAGTTATCTAGTTTATTCACTATAACTGAAATATGGCTGGAAAGGCACGGTTGATAATTTATATAATAAAACTAATTCTTTTTAAAAAAGGATTGCTTCTTCCTTTACACAGTGTACAGTGTTTTTTTCATAAACATGCTAATGGAGATCTACTTAATACCAGATAATCCAACACAACATTTATATAATTGTATGTTAATGCTGAAGTAAATTATTTAAACGCAGTAATGTTAAGGCAGTCCTCTATAATTTGAAACGATTCTATCGTAATCTCATTGTGATGTCATTGTCGTCGATTTCATTTTATGTCGTCACACTTATTCTTATACGGAACGTCAAAGCTTGACAAGGCAGCAAAAAAAACAAGTACGAGTCAGCTGTTCACGAGATTTTGACACCATTCTGTGATGTTCTGTAATTTTTTTTTGGAAAACAGGAGAGGGTTGTCGAATTCCTACTTGACCAACTTGACCATGTATATTTGATATTCTGCCTGGTGATCATTAAGTGTTTGTTTTTTTTTTTATTTAAATTAGATTAATTTGGATTCGGTCATAAATAAAGGCAACAGTAGTATACCGCTGTTCAATAGTCATAAATCGATTAAGCGAAAACAAATCCGGGTCACAAACCAAAACCGATGGAAACACGTCAACTATAAGAGGAAAACAACGGAACAACAGAAACACCGAACTGCAACAAAAACAAACGCCACCATACATAGACACTGACTTTATGATAACAACTGCCATATTCCTGACTTGGTACAAAACATTTTTGAAAAAATGGGGGTTTGAACCTGGTTTTATGGCTAGCTAAACCTCTCGCTTATATGGCAATGTTAAAGAAATACCGCTAAAATGACAACACTACGTAACAGGAATACAGTACAAACAAACACAAGGACAATCAGCACAGAGAAATACATAAATAAATAGTATAATAGTACATCACAACCTGCAGACCACAGAATAACAACAGACACCTCTCATGAATTTACGACAGTACACCAGGACACCACAACAGATTTAAAAACTGTGCGACACATGAATGTATCAACGCCACAAAAGAGACGTATTTTTTGTGACGTTTATATAATTACAAGTAAATTTCTAAAAATAGAATAGATTTGTTTTATTATAGACGTACAAGAATATAAAAATGGGATTGAGTTTGTAATGGTGTTATTTTATGTATTTTTTAGCCATGACAAGCATATTAAAATGGAATTGTGTTTGTAATGGTGTTATTATTTGTATTTTCTAACCATATAAATAAGAAGATGTGGTATGGGTGCCAATGCGACAACTCTCCATCCATGTCGGTTTTCCTTCTAAATCAAAACTTTGTATAAACAAAAAAATCCTGTGCATATAGTTGCTTTAAACTTAAAATCATATAAATGAAACAGTTAATTTATTATTTCAACTTTTACATACATATAGAAAATTAAAAAGAAAATAACTATAAGGCAAGTTCATGTAAGACCAAACAGTAAACACACTTGAAAAATAAAAAACATAAAACAAAAACACTGTAGACGAGCCACGAGTAACTCGACTATGGAGTTGTCTCATTGGCACTCATACCACATCTTCTTATATCTATATACTGACAAATAAGACATATGTGAAATGTACCAAAACTACAGAATTCAAACCACAAACGATAAGACATTACACAATATCCAACAATCTTACAAAAGAAACATTATAACTAAATACATGAATGTTGGATGTATAACTACCGAAACAGGTCGTATAGCAATACGAATTCAAACTCGGCAAAACAGTCATATTCGGGAATAGGTCACGTTTTGGTACTTAGAAGACCAGACGACGTAGATGGTTAACCACAATCTAAGACGTGGTAAAAATGTCGTTAGTTAGTTAAGACACAGACACATCGTATAAATCAACCAATTCGTGGTGGTGTCCATAATATTTACGGAGTGTCAATTTTAATCTTTCCTCCTCATAACTCTGTTGGAGCAGTTTCTGCATAAGGTGAACATGCACGAGCATAACGTATCAATTGAGATTTATAAACACCATACGATGGGGCGGAAGGTATGTTACTGCTGAGAAATGGGAAATTGATAATTAGGAAGTTGCAATCATCCCGTTTGTCATAAATTTTAGTGTGAAGTCGTCCCTCTGTGTCAATATTGAGAAAAAGATCAAGTTTTGAAACAGTCCTTTTAGTATCAGTAGTATACTTAATTTCAAGTTCACAAGGATATATGAGATGCAAGTACTGACTGAATATGGGATATTCAGTGATAGGACATCATCAATATATCTGAAAGTAAAATTAAAGAATTTCGCAAGGTGCTTTTTCTTTTTGTCTTTTAGAAAGTTCTCAATGAATTCTGCTTCATACGAGTACAAAATTAAATCGGCCAGTAGGGTGCACAATTAGTACCCATTGGAATACCGACTGTCTGTTGAAATAATAATCCTCCAAATTCAACAAATATATTGCCGATAAAAAATTCCAGCATTTTGATAATATCATCTTCAGTATATTTTTTGATATAATCGTATGGTTATGTACAACATAAAAATTAGTATTACCCAAAACAAGAAATTTATATCTACGGTTCCTATTTTTATAGAAAAAGATCAGTTTAATGAGATGGTGAAGTCGATCTTTCAATTGAACATGGGGAATAGTAGTGTAAGGCGTAGAAAAATCAAAAGTCTTAATGTTGCTGCAAAATTACAGAGATTTTGATCTAAGATTTAGCAGTAGATCTTTAGAATTTTTAAAAATCCACATCTGATTGACACCACTGGTTTAATATATCTTTCACTGAATTGATGAAGGCCATCTTTTATTGTAGAAGGAAAAGTAGTCAGCACTTTTATAAGATGTTCAGTCGAACATTTTGATGATCCAGCTATGTATCGTTCTTAAAAAGGTGTTTTGTGAAGCCTTGGTATCCAATATAATGACGATAGATTTTCGTCGTTTTCTTTGATGCTAATATCAAAAGAAAAAAGGACAGATTTGTGATTTTCTAAAATTTCATCCTTTGTAATTGATGTTTACGAACATGTAGGATTACCAGTTTTGCTATCTATTATTATTGTGAGACATTCCAAGAAAAAGTTTTTACATATGAAGACAATTTTTTTGGAGGCTTTATCTGCTGGAACAACGACATATTTGTCATGAAACGAGGATAAAGAAACCACAACCTCCGGGTTCTTGAAAGGGCTCATAGTACATCGTAATTTCTGAATGCGCTTCTGAATGCATGCTGAAATAGCTTTGATCCATTCAGACAAAGTTTCCAGTACTGGTTCAACTGGCTCGCGTTTTACCCATGTTCTGGCATAGTCATCAACTGTATCTATCAGTAACCTGAAGTTCTTTTTTCCAGTTGATGGGCTGGGGAATTCTATATTTTGATCCCTTGGCTAACAACTCTCTTAGTTAATAACTACGACGCCAAAGTTGCCAGTATTAACATGACCGGATGGACTATAATTGTATTTTGATGATGCACATGAGCAATCTGGAGGTTTGGATTTCACATCTTTGAGGTTAAAGGCCTCTAAAATCCTCTTGTGGTTGAGAATCTTAGATGCAATAGGCTCTCTATAAGTGTATGAAATTACAGGTGTAGCTTTATTTTTAAAGTAATCAGGTATATAGTTTTTTGTACAGATTTCTGGTGGAAATATAATAATTTTGATAGCATCTAAACCTTCATTGGGAATTCTACTTTAAAAAATATGTTTTTTGTCATCTTTGGAAGTAGTACACAAATGTAGATACAGGTTTGAATAGTCTATGGTTAGCAATGTCCATGATTATTGCAACTAATCTACACAAAACAGAAGTAGAATCAATAGCGGAAGTATTTTGGGCCTCTACTGGAAAAGGCTTAATTTCCACTAAAATGTCACATTTTTGTCACTATTAATATTCTAGATATGGTTATGTTTAGCTGGTGTTTGAATTGATTTTTATCAAAAGCATCATTCGTCCTTCGAAATTTGAGTAAAGCTCTATATTGGGGCGTACCGGTCTAAAAAGGGCATTTTGGGCATTTTTTGATACTTGTCAAAAAGATCAACAAAAAACATGATATCTTTTAAAGTACTATTACTTTTTTAAAGGTTTTAAATATTTCTATAAAGGTTTACATGTGTGCTATAATATTTATGATTTTTGAGCTGGGGTCTCTGTTCTATTATATGTCATTATGTTATTGTTCTATTATAAATTTGAAAATACTTTGAACGACAAACGACAAATTTATTTTACTCGAGTAGTGGTATTTACCATATGTGGATTCTTAAGGGTTCTGAAGAACTTCTGGACAATTATAAATCTCGGTCTATTTCTGAAATTAATTCTAACATAACTTTTGATTTTTTAACCCTGTATACCAACATTCCCCATGTGAAATTATAAAATTGTTTTGAATAGACATTGAATGACAAACTTTTTTCTTATGTGACGTTTACATTTTCTGACGTCAGACACGCGAAGCAATGAATGTGGGTCTTAATTTGATAGATGCTTTTGTGCTTTTTTTGTAAATAATTGTTTGTTTTGATATTGTAACACAGTGATGACTGCTGTACCCATATTTTGACTATTTTATTTATAATGTCTGTTTTGTTCACGCATCGTTGTAAATATAACGAAATTTGATAAGACTGTCGTACAAGTGAGAGGTTTAGCGCTATAAAACCAGGTTCAATCCACCATTTTCTACATTTGAAAATGCCTGTACCAAGTCAGGAATATGACAGTTGTTGTCCATTCGTTTGATGTGTTTTGTCATTTGATTTTGCCATGTGATTAGGGACTTTCCGATTGAATTTTCCTCGGAGTTCAGTATTTTTGTGATTTTACTTTTTACACCGTTACAATGGAAACGCAATAAAAAGTGTAATTTTCACGTATTTTTCACAATAATCCATGTATTTAATCATGAAAACTTATTTATTTTTTCACACTGGCTTATGATATTTGGCATGAAGGTGTATTACAGTAAGACAGTGTATCTCATGAATATTAAAACCGTCAAATGACCTTGGCCTTTAACCTCAAGGTCAAAATACTTGATTTTTTTTTCATTTTCTTGTCTGGAGCACACCTTCTCTCCCTTCACAACGTCTTTTAATATTTGATACACAAATGCAGCACCTAAATACGATGTGTCACGTACCACAGATGATGAACTTGATCTTTGACCTTCAAGTTAAAAAAAGTCAAGGTCAAAATTTTTAATTTTATATGTCACCCTAAAACCAAACATATTCTTAC